AGGACACTGGTAGGGCTGAGAGGGGTTTTTTTGCCAATTAAAGGGGAAGGAAACAATTTGCTCACCAAGCCTGCTCACCAACTAAAGTTAAAAAGATATAATTTAAATAGGAGAGTCCAAGCAATCTGTAGGAAGGACGAGAAACTTGAAGCGCATCCACTGGGCTGAATGAACTGAAAAAAACTGAAGATGGTCAGCACCAGATGTGTGGCTTAAAGTTTCAATTCAATTCTGAGCAGATTGGCTGTATTTAACCCATGCTTGGACACTCCAGAGCAGTGCCCAGGAAAACAGCAAATGTCACCCAAATGATCTACTGTTGACCAGGGGAGAAGTAGCTCCCTCAATTCTTAAATTAGGGCTGACAACGAACTGACTTAGATCCATTAAGTTCTTCAACTTGGTGTAACTGAGAAGAAAATGGAAAATAAATCAATAACTATGTTCCTCTTAAACAAAAACTGCTCAAGAGGTGTGAACTGAAGAAAAACTTTCAGCTCTGTCATGCTGTGCTGAAAAAAATAGTGCTCTGGCAATAGGTCAAAGGATTGAGAAAGCCAGCAAGTATTTATAGTTATAGTATTAGGCATGCAAGAAGGAGCAAAGGATTAGATCAGGAGTGTCAAAACTCAATTTCATTGAGGGCCACATCAGGGTTATGTTTGACCTTCGAGTGGTGGCAAGTGGGAGTGTATTGTCAGGATGGGCATGGCCAGCTCGACATCATTCGTGTTTTTGGGGGGGGGGGGCACCTGTGGTGGCCAAATACTGGCAGGACTCCCCTTAGATCCTCCCTCCTTCTCATTATAATGTCCTTCTTTCCTTTTCCTTCATTTTCCTTTCTTCTTCCTTCCCCTCTTTCCTTCTTTTTCCTTCCTTGCTCTCTTTCTATCTTCCCTTCTTTTTCTTTGTCTTTCCTCTTTCCCATTCTCCTTTCTTCTCCCTTCTTGCATGCTCAAATGCAAAAGGGGAAACATTTCTCCTCTTCTTTTGTTTTGCTAGCTCTCTGCCAGCAAAAACAGGAGTGGTTCAGGAGTGGTGTATGCAGTCCTACCAAGTTCCATTTTCAGTGGTAGAAGCACCATTTGCTGTTTCCAGGACAGCCCTGTGGGCTAGATCTAAGCACCGTGTGGGCCGAATCCAGCCTTGATTTTGACACCCCTGGACTAGATGGACAATGAATGGACATGGGCAGGGCCATTGCTCACCTTTCTGATAAAAATACGACAATGAAATATTTTCTTAGCTCAAAAACCTTTCAAGAAGGGTGGGGAGTGGCTCTTAATTTAATTTTCAGATGCATTGGGCACACAAGAGATCTCTTTTAGCCTGCAGAGTTTTATGGAGAGTCCTACATACAGGCATTTAGTTAAGCTAATTATTTCCAATAACACGCCTAAAGATAATACACTGCATACAGGCCATTTGGCAGTCTACGTCCTAAGGGTGCATGAATCAACAAAACTCCAACTTGATTCAAAGAAGGCAAGATTTGATTTCACATATGTTAAGAGTCAATTAAAAATTCAACAGCCGACTATAAAAGGAAAGCCTCAAAAATGCCCGCAGTGCTTCATTTGGGAGCAGAATAAAGGGAGGGAAAACACAGTAGTAAGGTAGAACTTTAAGAGGGCATTAACTCTGGGAAGTATCCGCTGAATACTTTCAGGCTTTTCAATGCAATAATTTTAAATATTTTTTCCTACACGCGTTTTAAGACAGAGAGAGGAAGGATGAGGAAAAGACAGCATAGGAACATTCAAAATATCTTGAAAAAATATTTTGGGAGAAGCTGTGCTAACTAACACTAGGTAAAGGTAAAAGTTCCCCTCACACATATGTGTTAGTCATTCCCAACTCTAGGGGGCGGTGTTCATCTCTTTTTCAAAGCCGAAAAACCAGCGCTGTCCAAAGACATCTCCGTGGTCATGTGGCCCGAATAACTAAGCGCCGAAGGTGCACAGAACGCTGTTATCTTCCCACCAAAGTGGTCCCTATCTTTCTACTTGCACTTTTACCTGCTTTCAAACTGCTAGGTTGGCAGAAGTTGTGACGAGTAATGGGAGGTCACTCCATTACGCGGCACTAGGGATTTGAACTGCCAAACTGCTGATCTTTCTAATCAACAAGCTCAGCGTCTTAGCCACTGAGCCATGTGTCCCTTAACTAATACTGAAAATGTCCAATTTCTACTTAAGAGCTCTCAAAGGTTCTTCAGAAGTCTCTTATTAAAGATCAAATGATTCACTGCCCTTCATTAGAAAGCCGATTCATTGGCAAAGTCAGGGAACACCCAACTGGCAAACTACCCCATAACAATAAAAATAAAGAGATTTGAGAAGTGAGAGTGGTTATCACTTATGCCTAGAATATATAATGATATATATAAAAGCCCTTCATGGTAGTGGGCCTGGGTATTTGAGAGACCGCCTACTGCCAATTACCTCCACTAGACCGATACGATCGCATCAATTAGGCCTCCTCCGAATTCCATCTACTAGCCAGTGCAAACTGGCAACTACCCGGAGGAGAGCCTTCTCGGTGGCTGCTCCGACCCTCTGGAACGAACTCCCCGTGGAGATTCGGACCCTCACCACCCTCCAATCCTTCCGCGCCGCTTTGAAGATCTGGCTGTCCCGGCTGGCCTGGGGTTAAGATTCCAACCCCACCCGAATTGTGTGACTATTGTGCTCTCTTTTTTAATATGTTGTATTGTTTCCATATTGGAATACTGTTTGTCTTTCCCCCCCTCCCTTTTTGAATTGTGAGCCGCCCTGAGTCTCCCCAGGGAAAAGGGCGGCATACAAATAAAGGAAATGAAATGAAAAAAATGAAATGATATATAGAAATGTTCTGCATGATTCCCAATATTCTAATAGGAGGCTTACTGAGGCAAATCTACCTGCAATGAAGAAGTCCTAGCATAAAGCGGAACAGAGAGTAGTTGAAAATAAAACAGAGGAATCTAATTATTCTTATGTGAAGAGGATAGGGACAATAAAAGGAAATGAAAAAAGGAAGTGCAAAAAATTAAAAAGGTGCAAACCACAGAGATTGCATTACAGATGAGAGAAATAGACTTTAAGGAATGATAAAAAATAAAATAAAAAGGTATTGATTGGGGAAAAGGTAAAATATCACAAAAAAAGAGCAAACCAAATAAAATAAAAGCAACAGAGTAAATACAGTTCCTTCTGTTTTTCTTCCATCATTTGAACCTCCTTAAAATACTCTAGCAGAAGAGTTAAGTGCAGATAATAGTACAGCATTCTTCCAGGTACTTGAGAGGCAGAGTTGACAGCGGCGAAGAAACATATCAACCATTCGCTCATATCAATGTGTCAGAAAATGAATCAGTCAACCTTCATTCAAGTTTTCCTTTTCCCTATCTGGAAGCAAAGTGGAAAGAAAGCTGAGATTTTGCAAAGCCAGAAGATATCAGAAATGGGTGAATCATCAATGAATCTGTCCAAAGATATTCAAAGGCCCGACTGAATTGATAGAACTGAATAGAGAATAAATTAAATAGACCCAGTTCAAGCATAGCAGTTAAGGTGCTAGTTTAAAAACCAAGCGACTGGGAGTTCTAGTCCCACCTTAGGCACAAAAGCCAGTTGGATGACTTTGGGCCTATCACTTTCTGACAGTTGTTGTTGTTGTTGTAGGGAAATAGGAGGATTTAACTTTATTTGCCACCTTATTTATAAAAATAATGAAGGTGGGAAGAAAACCAAATAAATAAAATTAATAAATAGATGCCTCAGATACGTTGTGGGGGATTACTGAAGAAATATCTTTGGAATCCCATTCAAGATCATATGCATTTTTTTTCAAGTTTCTTCCAAATATCTTGAAAATGTTCTAGCTATGTTAAGATTCATATCAACTTTAATGGATCAGCTAAACAAGATTTGCTTGGATTTTATGACAGGCTGTCTGATGTGTGAAATGTGGGGAGGAAATCTTGGAATAAATAAAGAGAGGAAATGGTTAGCTATGAGTATTAGAAAATGTTCTTCCTGGGAGTTGCCCTTTCTAAGATGGGAAGATGGGTTTTCTTCCTTTCTATCTTATAATGGCTTTCAAATGAGATCAATTAGTTGCTGCTGTCAATATCTACTTCCAGTGCTTATATATGCCAATGAGTTTGGGCTAAAACCACAAATACAGTCCAGGGCCATCATCGCAGCAAATGCATTACTGTAACCTGACTCTGCTCACTGTCAAGAGTTCAATCCTAATCAGCTCAAAGTTGACATCCATCCTTCCAAGATTGATAAAATGAAGATCCAATTGTTGGGGGAAATATGCTGGCTCTGTAAACTGCTTAGAGATTGCTGTAAAGCACTATAAAGTGATATATAAGTCTAAGTGCTATTGCTAAGGGAAACCAGTACAGTGAATTTGACAGTGAAGTCCAGTTGAGCTGGAAACCATAAAGGATAGACTTAAAAAAAAAAAGTAAACTCTGGAAGAGGAGCAATATTGTGGGAGAAGCTGCACCTAGGTTAAAAACTGGTACCTCCAGGCAGGGCTGGAAAACACTCATACTTGTCACCCTGGATACCTTTGCGATAGAGCTGAGAAAGTAGAAAAGATTTCCATATGTTCCTAATGTTTTGGAGGAAAGTTTATACTTTTTAAAATGTTTTTTTTAAAATAATTTATAACTAATGATTTTAGATGTTTATATTTCTGTTGCTGATGTATCACCCCAGAGTCCATTGCCGGTGAGGTGGGAAGCTTTAGAAGTTGGATGAACAAGCAAACAAACAAACATCAAGTAATTAAATAAATAAATATATTGCTTTCTTTATTTCTCTGGGCGCTATTTAATTTTTCCTTTTTTTCATACATTAATATTAAAGATCTGTGGAGCTGCAACTCAGATAGACAGTAAGATTATTTCCCAGTTTATTCTCTCCCATGCTGCATTTTGATTTTTCTCTCCAGGTTCTGGTGATTATTAGGGCTTCTGCAGAATAATAGTAAACACTAACCTCGTAGATAAAATACACTTTCGCTTCAACATAGATCCCCATGCGCACCACGGCACGGACTGCGGCATTCATACCTGGAAGAAAAGAACACGGAAAGGCATGGTTAACATCTGGCATCACCTGGAAATGTATGTGACAGTGCATTAAAACTATAGCCATCACATAATCAAACTAATTAAATAATAAGTATAAATTAATAATGATCAAGGTTTAATCCATTTAATTATTAATTAATTAACAAATGTTATCAATTCAAGAAGAATAATTAGATAAAGCTAATAAAACCCATTAGCAATCTTAACAGAAAAGTCAAGTTCAAAAATGCCAGAAAAAAATTACCATCTCGAACCACTAAGTAATTGGGGGTCCAGATAGTTCGGGATGGACAAATTAAAAAAAGTATATAAAAGTGTTTCAAATCACCATTCACCCATCAATTCATTGGATGACCCTGCACCAAAAGCTATTCCTTGTCCTAGACTTGATTTCTTGCATTGTATGTACTGCTACACACGCAGAGGTGGGCTGCTACAGGTTTGCCTGGGTTAGGGAAAACCTGTAGCTAATGTTATGGCCAATTCGGAGAACCTCCAAATCCCACCCCTGGTTGGCCCCTCCCAGCCTTTCCCACCCCTCCCAGGAGTCTCCACACAGCCTTTTTGGATGTGAAATAGCAGAGCCCACCCAGAGGCTCAGGGATTGGGAAAAATGGGCTTCCCGAGCCTGCAGGAGGCAGTTTTCACCTTCTCAGAGGCTCCAGGAAAGCCTTCAGAGTCTGGGGAAGGTGAAAATGCCTCCCTCCCTCCACAGTGTTGCAGGAGGCTGACTAGGCCATGCCCACCATGGCCACGCCTACCCAGCAACCAGGCAGACAACCCATTTCTGAATTTTTTGAAGCCCACCTCTGTATACAGGTAGCCCTTAACTTACTATAATGGAGCCTGCTTATTACAGACAGAGATCATTTCTCAGTTCAGACCTATATTTTATCTATTTCTATGGGAAGGTATGGCTGGTTTTGAACATTTTTGGGTTGGATACCAAAGTAGGTATGAACCAAGGAAGACGCAGCATAATCACAATTAATTATTACTGAAATCCCAATGTTCATTGTTTCTGAGATTCTTTCCAGACTATCCACCGTGAACTAAAGTAGAACAAGGACATTCCATGGAATCAATTCATTTTGAGGAAACTTTATGATCCTTCAATCTCTCCCCTCATTCTCATGGTGTTGCTTAGTTTAAATATCAGCAAGGGAAGATTACATATTAGTGAAGGTTAGCTATTTTGGTAAGTGTCCGGTAGGCATTGGACACCTAGTTAAGAGAAAAGTAATAAATAATTATCTAACTGTGCTTAGAGAAGATCTGTTTCCTTGCAAGCCACAGGGACATAAATAAGAAGAGATAGCTTGTCTAAGCAGTCCCTCTTCCTAGTTAAATAAAAAATGTAGGTCAATCACAAGAAGGAAGGAAAGAATGTAGGGAATGTAAAAAGTCTCTGATGGGTGGAGAAACACTCTCAGGGAAATACAAGAAGAACAGTAGTGGATTTGAATCAGCTAATTCATTAGGGGTTCTCCGTTGTCAAGTGTTGATCATCTGTCTTAAAAATAAAGGTTCCCCTCTCACATCTTGTTGTTCCTGACTCTAGGAGGCAGTGCTCATCTCCATTTTAAAGCTGAAGAGCCAGCGCTGTCCGAAGACGTCTCCGTGGTCATGTGGTCAGCATGACTAAACGCCCAAGGAGCAAGGAGCACTGTTACCTTCCCACCAAAGGTGGTCCCTATTTTTCTACTTGCATTTTTATGTGCTTTCGAACTGCTAGGTTGGCAGAAGCTAGGACAAGTAACAAGAGCTCACTCCCTTATGTGGCGCTAGGCATTCGAACTGCTGAACTGCCGACCTTTCTGATCGACAAGCTCAGAGTCTTAGCCACTTAGCTACCGCGTCCCTCATTCCTTTGTCTTAATAGGCCCCTAATCTGCTTGTGATATGTAAAATACAATCCTCAGATGTATTGTGCAATTCTCTGAAAAGTTCCTGAATTCGTGACACAACAATTCACATCAAAAAGAAACCAGGATGTTTTCTGGTAGAAGTGGCTTTTTTAAAAAAAAAATATATACCTTTTAAAAAAATAATTCATGTACTTTTTATTCTTTAAGCTTGTTAAGACTTGGTTGATTTAAGAGAAAACAGGCTTTTCGATGAGTCTTGAAGGATTAAAAGAAATAATCAAGTGAGGGGCATTATATAATATTATGTACTCAGCTGAAGGAAGATCAAACGGAGGCGATCTAGTCAGGAACAACAACTTTATTAGTTAACAACAACTCACTAGTCAGAACAGAACAAAGAACTCTGGTTTGACAGCTATTTATAGTGCAGCTGTCAAACCGGCAACCAATTAGAACAACGCCAGCTACTACGGACAACGCCTGCACGTCTTAGCCAATCCTGGCAACCACTGGTGATGATTGACATTCAGCGGTTGCCATGGTTCGGACACAACATATAAGATGCCAGATAACAATGAATTGTGTGTTAATAATTTGCTGATATTAGGGATAATCAATCTGTATGTTCCCCTATAGATTGCATGAAAACTCCAATCCCATTTCAGTAGCCATGCGAATTTCGCTCCGCTATAATTCAGCAACCAATTGCCTGTTTTCACTGGCACATTTCTTGGTCCACATTATTTTTAATTTATTTCTAAACTTTTAACTGAAGACCAAATCAAACAAAACAATGTGAAAATTTTGCCCCCTCGTTCAGGTGCACAGGTGATCTTTGATTTACAACTGGTTATTCAACTGGCCGTTCAAAGTATGTAGGTACCCCAAAGTTATGTAGGACAATTCACCAGTGTAACCAGAAATCATGAGCACTCCATCACTGGATGTTTTTAAGAAGAGTCTAGACAGTGAATTATCCGAAATAGTTTAAGTTCTCCTGCTTGAGCAGAGGCCTGGAGTAGAAGATCTCCAAGGTTCCTTCTAGCTCATTCATTCTATTCTAACCCAAAGTTATGTATGTATTGATGGCTGTCCTTCAATTGTCACATGACCACATTTTATAATGATTTGCTGAAAAGCAGCATTTACCTCCAATTTTCGGCGAAAATGCTCCACATTGAACAATGGATTCACTTACGGACCACATATTCGCTTAATGATCATGGTGATTCATTTAATGGCCACTGCCAAAATGTTATACAATTGGTCAGTCACGTGATGACTCACTTTACAACCATCACTGCTTATATGATCAAATGGACAAGCTGCATCATGAGCCTAAGGACTATCTATATCATTGTTGCATTGCTATAACTTCAGCTGTCATCAGAGGCTTAATTTTTTTTAAAAAAAAACCTGATGTTTCTCTCATGACATTTTCTCATCCCTGATTTATAATTTGCATTTGATTTAAACTGCCTGAACGATGCCACGTTCATTCCGAATAGCAGATGGGTTTTGAATATGTATCTCCCCCCCCCCCCGATTATAAAACCAAACATAAATTACTGAATTCGAAGATGGCTGTTCTTATCTCCCAACCAATTTCAACCTGTCAATATCAGCTGTTTGAATTGTATCTCTTTTTTTTCCCCAGGCAAAATTCTACCCAGCTTGTTGTTCTATGTTCACAAGGCTGAAGAAAATCACAGGTTATCCATAGTGGCCATTATTGATTGATAATTACTGCACAGAAAAAAAAACAGAGCAGCGCCTGGAAACCCTGCATGCTATTACTCCATTAAATGAATCCAAAAATGTATTGATTAGATGTGAAGAAAACAGCTTAGCAGCTTGAATCATAGATCTATTCTATCAAAAACAGCACCAAACCTCTTTGCAGATAAGATAATCTCCTAAATCACTAGTGCAGGTGCTTAATTTACAACTCCCACATGGAATTCAAAATGTGTGAGCAATGTTCTTGCTCTCTAATACATTTGTCCTAAGAATCCGTTGTTATTGTTTTAAAAAAACAACAGCAACATCTCTTCCCACACAGTGGGGAAAAGAAAGAAGAAATTGCTTGTTAGGATTACGGTGTTCTTTTTTTAGTATTCTCACTCTGCTTAATGAATATCTGCTATTGTTCTAGATTTGTGGTCTTGATTGCCTGTTCTAATCATCAATTAAAATGAGCATCTATCTTGGAGGTACAGTTATTTTTCGGCCTATAAGACACACCAGTATATAAAATGCACCAAGATTTTGAAGAGGTAAGTAAGAAAAAACAGTTTTTGTCCTCCCTGGCCCCCAGGAGCACTCTGCAGGCTTCAACAGGATTTCACCAAAAAAAGGGGGCATTTTTCTCTTCTCCCAGCCCCGCTGAAGCCTGCAGAGTGCTTCTGGGGGTGAGAGAAGGCAAAAACACCCCCGTTTTTGCAAAAAAAATGGCCTGTTATTTGCCCATTTTCCACAAAAATGGGATGCAGGGCAGGGTTTCAGGAGGCCAAAAATGGCTGTATTCGGTGTATAAGACACACCAACATTTCCATACTCTTTTGGGGTGGAGGTGTGCCTTATTCTCTGAAAAATATGGTACCTTTATTTTCATGGAGCCCCATCTCTGACCAATTTTATTAAAGCTGCCAATACATCCACCCAGCTGCCCACCCAGCAGTAGATTAATAGGTACATTTTCATTGGGAAGACAACAAAATTCTGTGCACCCTTGGCATTCAGCCATGCTGGCCACATGACCACAGGAACTGTCTTCGGACAATGCTGGCTCCCTCAGCCATGAAACTGAGATTAGCGCCATCTCCCAGAGTTGGACAGGACTGACAGGGAAACCTTGATCTTTTGCAGGTCCAATTTTCTGAATCATTCCCCAAGATGAGTGTTTCTTGAACGACGAGGCCCTACGTGCCTAGTCACCTCATTTGGATTACTGAATGTGTTCTATATGGGGGCGACCCTTCAAGAGTATTTGCAAGCTTACTACTAGTTCAGAATGCAGCTGCATGAACAGTTCTGAAGGTTTCTAAGATGTATCACCACTTTTATGCCACCAACCTGATTCCAATCCAATTGAAGAAGTTGTCATCATTT